GGGGTTGGGGAGGGGATGTCTTTGCTTTTGTTTTCAGTTGTTTATTTTATTTCTTACTTTTTATTTGTTTTATTAAGACTGGCTTGCAATTTGCATTACAGCCAGCAGTGCAATACAAAAGGTAGACGTTTGTTACGAATTGAAAATTGCCGGAATGTTGAGGTTGTGGGTCCATTTTGATTTGTTTTGTTTTCTTTGGTTTGTTATTGGTTTTTGTTGTTGTTGGGGTCATGTTTTGGTTGGTTGGTTGGTTGATTTTGTCTTTTGTTGGGTTTCTTTTATTTTATTTTTTATTTTTTTTGTTGGGGGGGGGAGTTTTTGTATTCTTTATTATTTTGTGTTTGATAGTTTTCATTTTGTTTTTCTTGGAGTAATTTTTCAAATTAGCATTTGAATGAGACAAATAATTGTTCTGAAAAAGAAATATTATTTTTGTATTTGACTGAGTACAATGGTTCTGGAGAGGGCTTTTTTTCTTTGTTTTTTTTTTTTTTTTTTTTTTTGGTTATGAATAGGATAGGTGGTTCCGACGTGGAATTTCTTTTTTAGCTCCAAAATAATATAAGTGGTCCTGGGGAGTGTGGTAAGGTTGGTAAGTGCGGTAGGTGTGATAAGTCTGGTCAGTTTGGTCAGTTTTAGGGGACTACAGCTCTCATTCAGAAGCTAAAAATGTCATTCATCAGGACGCGTGGTTATATCACTTTATGCAGTTACGAGCGCTGTAAAGCTCTAACAGAACTTACCAAACTTACCACACCTTCTAAACTTTTTGCGGATGGTTGAAGGGCGCCACTGGTAGGTCCTTCTTCTTCTATTTCTCTGTGTTGTTTCTGTTTCTCTGTCTTGCCTTTTCTTAGCGCTAAATGAACATTATTGTGTAGATGTGCTTCTCTTTTCTCAAACTCAATAAACTAAACTTACCTCACTTGCCAAACTTACCAAACTGACCACACTTATCAAACTCACCGAACTGACCACACCTATCAAACTCACCAAACTTACGACACTTTTCAAACTCACCAAACTTACCACACTTATCAAACTCACCAAACTTATCACACTTATCAAACTCACCACACTTACCAGACTTATCAAACTTACGACACTTATCAAACTTACGACACTTACCAGACTTATCAAACTTACGACACTTATCAAACTCACCACACTTACCAAACTTACCACACTTACCAGACTTACCAAACTTACGACACTTATCAAACTTACGACACTTATCAAACTCACCACACTTACCAAACTTACCACACTTACTAAACTTAATAAACTTACCAAACTTACCACACTTACCAGACTAACCAAACTTTCCAAATTTACCAAACTTACGACACTTATCAAACTTACCAAACCTACCACACATGACATACAAAACCTACCAGACTAACCAAACTTACCAAATTTACCAAACTACTCAAACTAACCAAACTGACATCAAATTTACCAAACTTTCCCTTCAGGACCAACGATCTCACTCCGGTCGGAGCAAAGCCGAGCGACTGGTGGCTAACCCAGAGCTAGATGACTTGTACGAAGAGGAGGTGAGTGACCCCTTGAGGTTACACAAAACTAATTAGGAATTTAGCTCTACTCTTGCTGAATTTGTAAAGAATTATAATATTTAATTATTTATTGTCCATACTTTCTTTTTCGTGTTCTCTTTGCTACTTTTTCAAAGGGGGGGAGGGGGGCAGGCAGCCTATTCCTATCAACTGGCGCTTTTGTGTTTAATTGTTGTTATTGTAGTTGTTTTTTATTCCAATTAATGTGCAGCGTTTTAGATTCTAATAGTTGGACGTTAGTGTAAACAGACATGAAAATAGTTGTTTGCCCTCAAAGTTCTTTCCCGGTTTATCCTAGTTCATCATCATCATCATCATCATCATCATCATCATCATCATCATCATCATCATCATCATCATCATCATTGTATAAAGAAGGTATTAAAACAGTTAAGACCTTGTTGTATTTCCCCAAAAAATATATATTTCACAGTTCAACGTTTCGCCAATAAGGC